GTTGACAATCAAAAGTGGGCAGTTTGTTAGAACAAAAGCAAACAGAACATATAAGTTTATCGTTCGGATAGTAAATTCTTGAAAAAGATGACAAGATTGGAAATAGAAGACATTCATGAGGGTTTGGGTGGGAAAATTTTAAACCTTCTGGGTTAGAGTTTACGCAGGCAACTATCAGTATTTTCCTAGAGCGTAAAAGTAAGAGAATTTGCTGCTAAACATTAACTCGAGAAAGAAAATGCGTGAGTACGTAAAGCAATAAAGTCGAACAAAGTAGCGATACGCATTAGTGTATGAAGTTTCTTATCTGAAAGGGTGGATTCCAAATAAAAAGTGCATACCGTCATCTTTTAAAATACTGGAAACGTATAGGGACGTATGATTTACATTGCAGGGAGAGACAAAGGTCAAGTGATAAGGTAAGGTAAGTAGATAAAGAACCACAGACGTGTGCCCATAGAAGCTGTGCAATTCCTGCAAGGTTAAGACACAGCATGCATGTGTAAGTTGACAATCAAAGGGGGGCAGCCCTTTAGGACAAAGGCAAATGGACATATCAGTTTATCGTCTGGATAGTACATGCGCGGAAAAACTCCCACGATTGGAATTGGAAGATATACGCAAAGGTTTGAGCGGGAAAGTTTGAAATTTGCTGGGTTAGTGTTTACGCAGGAAACTATCAGTATTCCTCTAGAATATAGGATTAAGAGAGTTTATTGCTAAAGCTTCCCTCAAGAAAGAAATGAGTAGGTAACTAACGCACCATGATGGTCTAAAGGTGTAGAAAGTTGTTTATGGCGAGTAATATGCGTTAAAGCCTTGGAGATGCAGTCCCTGAGCCTAATTCAATCTCGCTTCCCTTTCTAGGGAATCAGTCTACCACCCAAACCAGTTAGCCATCTGCTACAGGGATTGTGCGCAAGTGACTGACAAAACTGTAGATACCTGTCTACTTCTACCACACAACCTATCTGCGACATTCATCGTGTCAATGTCATCTTTGGATTTTATAGTGTTAGGACTTGACCCCTTTGTTTCCAGTCGCATGCACACTGGTGTTAAAACTAGTTCCCAGGCCAAATGCCCCTTAAGTGGTACTTGAACACTGTCTTCACCCGCCGTTCGGCTCTCTTGTCTTTTACTCACCTTTCTCAAACATTGTTTCCGCCCCCTCCCCCCACTGCATCAATAGACAACTGTTTCAAGAGCTACTTGCTATTGCCCCCCTCTCCCTCTGGTTCAATTACAGCTGTCACCGCTACTGACCTCCAACGCTTGCAATTCACTCCCCCTTTTGAGCACAGAATTGCCTCTATTCACGTCCGCCCCACGGTCTCTGTTCCCCGTTCCCTCGTTCTTTAACTCCTGCTCCTTATAAACTGACAGCAAAGTTTCTGCGTCATTCACACGACGCACTCGAATGTACGCCCACCCTCCCTTTGTTTTCTACTACGCATTTTTCTACCTATCGTGCACTAATAATCTTACTGTTTATTTTTGTAGAATCACACACCGAGTTATCATGACTGTCTCTTGACATATAAATAATATCCGACTGATTGACTGTCATTTGACATAACTTCTGACCTCGGGTGCGTCAACTCAGGTGACAAAACGCAGCACTGCAATACGAAAAAGCCAACAGTATTAACAGTTATTCGAGTTATCTAACTGTCCTTCGACATAACTCTTGACCTTGGAAACACTGCAATACGTGAAGCTCTTCAACTACTGTTAACATTTATTCGAGAAGCCCTTCAGCCAATAGCAACATTCCTTCGATAAGCCCTTCATCCATTATTTACAGTTATTTGAGACGCTCTTCAGCTATTATTTATACTTTCTCCCCACACATCACACAAAGTTTCCATACAAAAGCGTTAGCCATCTCAAAGTAAAGGCAGTTTAAGAGTGCCAAATAATTCACCATACTGGTAAAAACACGTCTGATTCAGCGACTTCGGTGCAGTGCATGTTGAAACTGCAAAGTTTCTGGTTCATCAATGAATACTCAATATTCCCAACTTGCTATTCAGTGCATACTTTGGTTTCTAATGTTAAGTTTATAGATTAGCCAAGGATATTGAACGGCTAGCAGCATAAAAGAACGGACGACTAAATGAAAAACGAAATGTGATAGGATACCCACCTTTCCACTGGATGAATCTAGGAGACTGATGCTTCCATTTTCGGAGCCGCAAGCAAGGAGAGCGCCGTCAGAAGTAGCCGTAATTGAGGTGGGCGAGGCCAAACCAGTGGCACAATTTGGCCGAAAGACAATGGCCGGCGATGGCATCACATTGATACTTGACTTGTTGAATCTAACGACATGATAGGGCAATTGCATGGCCTCTATACTCTTGGCACCTATCATACCCAAGTCAGGACTGTTTTCGATCAGCAGTTGGGCCGTCAGTCGAGGAAATCTAAAGAAATTGGGGAGACGATATAACACAAGCTACTTAAATCATTTAAGTAACATAAACACTTGTAACTGTAGTCAGCCCAGATGTCACGTTAAGCAACAGGGCCCTAGTAAGGGACGGAACGACTTACTTAGCAAGTAGGCCAGAGGAACGCAGCACGTAGGCCCGGCAGGCCTGGAACGCGTCGTGCTCATCTTGAAGGACTTCAGCTTTCCATGCTGCAATGATTTCGGGAGACATAGTTGCTAAAAGAACAACAGATAATAATCACTGATACCAACAGCGCTTCGGTTAGTATTTAAACCTTCGGTATAGCGTGTCTACAGCTAGTAAAACACGACTGACATGTATTAGTTAATATAGCTAGAATTTAGGAACTCACAAAATCCAAGGTACTCCTCCAGAAGAGAGGATGTGTCGTGCTTAATAGCCTTCTTCTGGAGATAGTCTACAGAGGACAGCATCGAACGCACAAAGTCGAGTTGACCAGCATGAAACTACGAAAAAAATTGAAAAAAGAGTTGAAGATACATAAGAGTAATTAAAGATATCAGTATACACTAAAAAGTAAATTAACTAGTACATAGGTGCACTCCGATCTGGTCCAGGATTCACCAACCCTAGCTTGTTTCGTCTGGCGAGGCGTTGACATTTCAACTTCTTCTCAGGGACGAAACAATTATGTTACTCACTAACTTTAAGTAACCAATGTATTACCGGCAAACGTTAGGACTACGAGGTACGCGTACTTCCGGCTCATTAGCCGTCGTCAGCCGCACTTACCCGACTCCAGACGCCAAAGAGGCCTTCTGAGTGATCTACAAGGTACCCTCAATTTATTAAAAATTTCTTGGACAGGGTCTGTTAGCTACGGCAGAAGCGGCCGCCATCAGGCTAGGCCGACAGGTGCTGTGCGCCCAAAAGAACTTCGTAGCGGCGCCGCACTTACCATGGTCAAAAGCCGCTAATCCAAAAGCCAGCAGATTATCACCTCGGCCGACTGCCAGTCCCCTCCCCCCTAACGCTGATCAGATTTTGACCCCGATTCGTCCACCCCCTTCCCTCTCCCCTGACAACCGTACTATTTTTTATACCAACCCGCATAGTTTATTTACTTAATAACCGTATAAATTTAAAGGCCTGACGAGAATTTATCGAAAACAAATGCATGTTTGCCAATTAAGTTTCTGAATTTTTTTGTTTGGCTTCATCTGTAACGCAGCAACATGAGGGGAGAGGAGGGGATAAAAACAAGTTAATGAGTGAGTAATATCAGGTTACTTACAGCGTAGTAGACAGCATCGTTCGTGTCCTTAGCAAACTCTATCAACAACAGCAGGTAGGCCTGGAGGCGATTCGGCGTGTTGAAGAGCTGGGGCGTTGGAGGCGGTGCCGCTCTAAAACCGCCCGATTCAGTCTTGAATCTGCGCGCCGTCATCAGACGACTGCTCGCGGGTGTCGTGTAGCCAAGGCGTCGGGTGGAGTTGAAACGCCCGAAAGAGGTACCAGTTTCAAAGCAGATCTTTTGCACGACAGAAGCCACCTGAGAACTGCAGAAGCGCAGACGGCCCTCTTGGGCATGCAGGAGGCTCGAAGTCACCTCCACCGACTCTTCCTCATCCTCTCCTTCCTCCTCTTCCTCCTCCGCCTCCTTTGAACGCTCGTCCATGAGGTCAAAACCTGCCAGAAGGGGACTCAACTGGGCCAGAAGGACGTGCAGCGACAGAGAAGACAGTTTGACC